GGAGAGAAGGAGGGAGGGAAGCCGCACTCTCCTTGCTCCGCTCTGCCACCGAGAACATACAGCCCTGAGGCCTGTCTTCGGGGGTACCGAAGCCGATGGGCTGGGCTGCTCGAGTCGGGCCTCGGCCTCAGGGGGCCACCCTGCCGGGCTCTGTCCTGCGGGGCAGGGATACGGGGCCGCTCCTGGACACGGGAAGCGGCGCGCCCAGCCTGCGAGTCCCGGCGCGCAAGGTGCGCCGCGCCGCGCGGTCGGGCAGAGGAAAGCGGGCCGGGGGAGTGAGAGGAGGGGACACCGTCGCCTGGAGGCCCGGGGGATGGAGGAGGAGCCGGACAAACCCCGTACCTGCCCGAGCCAGGAGCTCGGTCCGCGCGGCCAGACCCAGCCCTGCCGCCACCGCCCCTTCACTCCGGCGGGCGACCGTGAACCACCCGTGGCCGCCTAGCGCCCTCCAGCCAGGTGCAGGGGTCTGGCCGGGTGCAGCCTGGCCATTGGCTGCAGATGAGCTCATCCTCTAGCGTGTTAGAATAAACCACCAATCAGCACCTGGCTCCGTTTCTGCCGGCTCTTAAAGCCCCAGTGTCTGGTGAAGAGGGGCGCTGGGAGAGGGAGTGAAGATGGGGGACGGAGGTGGGGAGGGGGGGCGGGGAGGCGATTTAAGAGAGTGTTGCGGGGGAGGGGGTTCCTAATCACCCAGGGTTGTGGGAGGGCCTGCTTCGGAACTCTAGGCGGGCTAGAAAACGCGCAGGCCACTTCCGGGACTTTTCTCCTGATTTCATGCATTCAACTATTGGATACTTTTGTATTGAGCCACTACTATGCGGGAGGAAAGGGATGCTGAGATGCAGCGCTGGCATAGTCAGTCTCTGCTCTCGTCTTCAAGGGATTTACAGTCTAGGGAGGGACACAGGTTAAAGAACTAAAGAATACAGTTGAGATTTCATTCCAGTTGTGATCAGAGCTGTATGAAAGAAGCACCACAGGGCCTATGAGACTTACAACAAGAGGAATAGCCCGGTCTGGGGGTGAGAAGGCTTTCTGGAGGAAGTTATATCTGAAGTGGGCATACAGACCTCGCCTGCGCCCCAGTGCTGCCTGGACTCATACTGTCCTTACTTAGTGCACTTGCTCTCCCCCACATTCCTTACCATACAGTTCCCCTTTCCTGAACCCCCACACCTCCTCCCCTATCCTCACTCTCAGCCAGAGACATGCTTCTTCCTTCCCTTGAAAACACTGGGGTTCTCTTCTCTTGCTTGCTATCTGCCCACCTGCCAGGTCTGCACCCACATACTGCCTCCCGACCTCTTCCCACAGATGACCTGTCTGTGCCCTATCAAGGGCCAGCCTTCCACCTGGGATCAACCCCGTCCCACCACCTACTCAAGGACACGGCTGCAGCAATTCTCCCCTCTCTCTCCTGCGTCGTCGTTAATTTTTGACTCCCATTGAATCATTCCCATCGGATACCAGCATAATGCTGATTCTCCCATTTTAAGAGCAAGGTGAGAAAACACAACAAAATAAAACCACTCTTGGCCTCACTTCTCCCTCTATCTACCACCCCAGGTTTGCAGCAAAGCTCCTTGAAGAAGAGGTCTGTGCTCACTGTCTCCTGTTCTTCTGCTGTTTCTTGAACCTGGTCCGATGGGGCTTTCTTCTTCAACATTCCTCTGCAATTGTTCTCGGTCAAGCTACCAATGACCTATTTGTTGCTAAACCAAATGGTCTTGGTCCTCACCTTTCTTGACCTCTCAGGAGCATCCAACCCAGGTGATCATCCCTTTCTCCCCAGGCTTCTGGATCCACACTCTCTTGGTTGCTCCTGTCTCCCTTCCCAGTTCTCCTTTGATGGCTCTCCTCCTCCTCTCCAGCTTCTGATGTTACAGCAGCCCAGGGTTCAGTCCTTAACGTCTTCCTTCCCTCTATCCTTACTCTCTCGATGAGGATTGCACTTAGTCTCACGGTTTTAAATAGTATTCTTCCACATGCTGATGATTCTGTATATCTCTTCTGCATCTCTTAGCCTTCACCTTTCTAACAGACTTACATAGTTCATAGTCTAACAAAACATCTCAAATTCAACAAGTCCAGAACTAAAGCCTTAAAACAGAGCCCACATTTTGGAGACACCATTTGCAAATCATTTATCTGATAAGGGTCTAGCATCCAGAATATATAAAGAACACTTACTATTCAACAGTAAAAAGACAAATAATCCGATTTAAAACGCACAAAGGATTTGAGCAGACCCTTCTTCAGAGAAGATATACAAACGGCCAGTAAGCACTTGAGAGGATCCTCAATGTCATTAGCCATTAAATTAAAACCACAGTGAGATACGACTTCACACCCACAAGGATGGCTATAATAAAAAACATGGATGATAACAAGTGTTGGCAAGGATCTGGGGAAGTTGGAACTATCATAGCATTGCTGGTCAGAGAGCAGTGCAGTTCCTATGGCAAGCAATTTGATAGTTCTTGAAAAAGAGTTACCATATGACTGAGCAATCTACTCATAGACCTACCTATACTCAAGAAAATTAAACACATATGACCACATGGAAACTTACACATGAATGTTTATCGTGGCATCGTTCATAATAGGCAAAAAGTGGAAATAATCCAAACATCCATCAACTGATGAATAAATAAACAAAACATGATATATCCATATAATGGAATACTGTTCAGCCATAAAAAATAATGAAGTGCTGATAGGTGGGTGAACCATGAAAACATTACACTGAGTAAAAGAAAGCAGGCCCAAAAGACCACAAATTATATGATTCCGTTTGCATAAATTTTCAGAATAGGCAAATCCAAAGGGACGGTTCAGGGAAGGGGGATTGGGAAGTAGCGAAAGAATATGGATTCTTTTCAGGATCAACAAATGTTCTGGAATTAGATAATGTGATGGTTGCATAACTTGTAAATATACGAAAACCTGCCAAATTCACATTTTAGAGAAGAGAATTTTAGAGTGGCCCAGTCGGTTAAGCGTCTGACTCTCGAGTTCGGCTCAGGTCATGACCTCACAGTTCATGGGTTCCAACTCTGCATCGGGCTCTACACTGACGGTGTCTGCTGGGGATTCTCTCTCTTGCTCTCTCTCTGCCCCTCCCTCGTTTGCACTGGCTCCTGCAGGCTCTCTTTCTCTTTCTCTCTTAAAAGTAAGTAAATAAATAAATGTTAAAACCAAATTTTAAGAGGTGAATTTTATGGTATGTGAATTATATCTCAATAAAAAATTATCATGGAAAAAAAACAACACAAAAAACCTGAACGCTTGATCTGCCCCAACCTGAAACCTCCATCTAAAGTGTCTTCTAGCTCCATCCTTCCAAACGCTCAGGCCAAAAATTTTGGAGCCATCCTGGCTTCTCCTATTTTCTCACACTCTACATACAATCCACTAGAATATCATACTGGTGTTTCCCGTAAAATACATCCAGCCTCTGAGCTCTTCTCACCCCCTCCACTTCTCACCTCCACCTCCACTGGGACGACTTTCCGTAGGGGCATCTTCATTTCATACCTGATCTACTCTTGGAGGTGCCTCCTGTCTTCCTGTTTCTACCTTTGCCACCCTGAAGGCAGTTCTTACCATCTCTGTGTCAGGGGATCCTTTCAAAGCACAAGTCAGATTCTGTCCTTCTTCTGCTCAAAAGTCTGCGAGGGCTCCCATCCTTATCCTGAGAAAAACTCAAGGTCTCTACCATGACCTCCAAGGCTCTCATGGTCACCCTTCTCCATTTTTTCTCCAGCTTCGTCTCCGTCCAGCCTCACTCAATACCAGCCACTCAAGCTTCCTCACTGCTTCTGGAACACCCCTGGCAGCTCCCATCCCAGAGACTTCGCCTTGAAGCTGCCCTCTTCCTGGAATTGTCTGCCTCTAGATATCTGGCTGGTAAACCCTAGACTTGCTTCCAGTCATTGCCCTGATGGTCACTTTCTTGAGAGACCTACTCTGACTACACCCTCCTAACACCCCATCTCTCTTACCCGTCTCTGCTTCTCTTCCATTGTACTCAACCCCGTGAGCTTGCAATATCATTTACTTACTTATTCTTCCATGTTTATTTTCTTTCCTTACCCCCAATACGATCCACACAGGCAAGGGCCATTATCTGCTTTGTTCACCGACTTATCCCAAGTGGCTAGAACTGGATCTGGTACACAGTATTGCTCAATAAATACTTGCTGAATAAATGAATGAGCTCTGAAGGATGAGAAAGAATTAACCAGAAAAAGGTGTTTGGAGAAGGTGTTTGTACCTCAAACAAATGGCGTAAAGTCGTTTGATAAAATTTAATTCTCATTCATGATAAGAACACACTCTTTACTTAAACTCTAAACAAACTTAGGAACGCATTTCTTAACGTGATAAAGGGTTATCTACTAGAAACTTACAGCAAACACCATACGTAATGGGAGCACATTAGAAGCATTCCCACGGTCCGGTCGGCCATCTGGCGTGTGGTCGGATCACACTTCTCGGCCCCTTTGGAAGTTATGCTGGGCCGCAGGACTCGCTTTGAGGTGCGAAAGGACAGAACATGTTACTTCACGATGGAAGCTTCAAAAGCCAGTGTATAATTCACCCTGCCCCTTCCCTCCTACCATAGTGATCTTGAAAGCACATGTCTGTGGAGGCACAGGGCCTCTTTTAGCCTGAGTCTTTGAGAAACAACAAGGAACTCCTCCTTGCTCCATGGCTTGTGTTGGACAAGAGGTGTAAGTGAGAAATGAAGAATCCGAAACCCAACTCAGGCATCTAGAGGGATCTGACTTAGGATAAAGAAGCAACTTCAAACCAGTGGGACAGGATGGATTCTTCATGAGAGGTATTGGCACAACTGAATTAACTTATGATTTATTTTGTTACTCTTTTAAAAAAACATACGAATTCTAGAAGCATCCTTTCAAGTTCTACGAAGAGTCTTTTTGGCATTTTGACTGGAATTGCATTGGAGTTTTAAATTAATCCAGGAGAATCAACATCTTTATAGTGGGAGTCATCCTATGACTGAACATAGCACATCTCTCCATTTATCTGGGTCTTTTTTGTGTCTTTCGATACAATTTTATTGCTTTCTCCGTGAAGGTCTTCTATATTTCTAATTAGTTAATTCATAAGTATTTCGTAGTTTTTGTTACTATGGTGAATGGGATTTTAAAATTATTATGTTTTCAGATCATTATTACTAATATATTGATTTGATTGATCTGGTGTCCACCCACTTTGCTGAACTCATCAATTGGTGCTCTGAGCTTTCCCAGGTAGATAATCACATGATTAATTCCTATTCATATACAAAATTAAATCCAAGTTTAGGGGCACCTGAGTGGCTCAGTCAGCTAAGCATCCCACTTTGGCTCAGGTCATGATCTCGCAGTTCGTGAGTTCGATTCCCGCATCAGGCTCTGTGCTGGCCGCTCAGAGCCTGGAGCCTGCTTCAGATTCTGTGTCTCCTTCTTTCTCTGCTCCTACCCTGCTCATACTCTCAAAAATAAATAAATATTAAAAAAAAATACATGAATAAATTCAAGTTTAAAACACTAGATCAAAAAAACCCAGAACAACCTCAAATTTTTAGAAGAAAGCATCAAAGAATGTCAGCATGATCTTCGGGTAGAAAGTGCCTTTTAAATATTCCTGGTGGGGAGGGATATGTAATTATACGTTTTGGAGGATGATTTACCTGAGCCATTTGAAGTAGAAATAACCATAATCTGTGACCTATAAGTTCCACTTCTAGATATTTAACCCAGGAAAACATTTGCCCATGTGCATGAGGATGTATATGAATATTCATTACAGCATTGCTTGCACTATCAAAAAATTGGGGAAAAACTTCAAAGTCAATATTTTATGGAATATCAATATAGAAATGAATTCATAAATGTGACTTTTCATATGTCGAATTATTATTATTGTTATTGTTATTCAGCCTTTTAAAAGAATGAACCAGAACTAAATCCATTTGTATGGACATACAAGATCTCAAAACATATTGAGTAGAAACCGTTCCAAATGCTGCCTCCAATGCGATGCCTTTTATATTTATATGATTTTAACACCCACCCAAAACAATACTGTATATCATCGATATATTATGTGTATTAGGATTCTCCGGAGAAACAGAACCAATAGGATAGATAGGCAGGTGGATAGATTTCTTATTATAAGAAATTGATTCACGCAATTATGGAGGCGGAGAAGACACACGATCTGCCCTCTGCAAGCTAGAGACCTAGAAATGTCTGGAGCATAGTTCCAGGCTGAATCTAAAAGGCCTGAGAACCAGGAGACCCGAGAGTATAAGTTCCAGTCCAAGTCCAAAGCTTGGGAACGAGGAACACCGATGGTGGAAGTCCCAGGCCAAGGGCAGGAGAAGATCAATGTCCCAGCGCAGTTAGCAGAGAGCTGTTCTCCCTTCCTCTACCGATTTGCTCCGTTCAAGCTCCCAGTGGATTGGATGATGACCACCCACACCGGGGAAGTTCATCCCCTTTACTGAGTCTATCAATTCAAATGCTAATCTCATCTGGAGAAACTCACTGACATTATTTCTCCAGAAATAATGTTTCACCGAATCTCGGGACACCCCAGGAACCAGTCAAGTTGACACATAAAATTAGCGATTACAAATAGTGAGAGCTAACATCTATTCAGCACTCACTAGGAGCCTGGCACTTATTCTAATCACCTAACATAAAACATCTTACGTGAATTTTGAAACAGCACCATTAGCTACTATCATTAATCTTCACCCTAGAGATGATAAAACCGAGGCACTTTTATTTGAGTAATTTAATATGCAACAAGCGGCTAGGTGATTTGCTTACGCTCACACAGTTAGGAAGTAGGAGCAGTAGGAATCAAACCTTAGCAGTTTGGCTCCAGAGCCCAAGCCCTGGACCCCTGTGCTGATCACACTAAGCTCCCAACAGTGCCGTTATCCAGGAAGTGGAGGCCAGGGACGGACTCGGGGGAGGGAGCAAACAGCCTCTATAATACCTGTAATGTTCTGTTGTTAAGGAACAAAGTAAATTGGTTTATTATTTGTGATGTTAAGACTAATATTTAAAAAAAATTTTTTTTAAATGTTTATTTTTGAGACAGAGAGAGACAGAGCATAAGCAGGGAAGGGGCAGAGAGAGAGGGAGACACAGAATGTGAAGTAGGCTCCAGGCTCTGAGCTGTCAGCACAGAGCCCGTCGCGGGGCTTGAACTCACGAACTGTGAGATCATGACCCAAGCCGAGGTCGGACGCTTAACCGACTGAGCCACCCAGGCGCCCCAAGATTAATATTTTTAAAATTATATAGTAAACAGACACATGAAATTGTAGAATTATTTTTCAGGATATAGTGATTAGTGCTGCAAGGAAGTAGACAGGGCTCCATAAAGCTCTGATGGTGGAGTAGACCCAGTTCGATGGGGAGGAGTATTTGGGAGACTTTCCTGAGGAAGTGCCTTTGCACTGAGCTATGGCTGATGCATGTGTATTAGTCAGCAAGGTTGGGTGTGGGAGGGGGGGGAAGGGATTTCCTGGCAGAGGAAACAGCATGAGCAAAGGCCCTGAGGGGGCACCACAAATTCCAAGAAGTAAGAAAAGACAAGTGTGTTGGACCTTTGGGAAGCGTCTCACATGGGATGAAGAGAGAGGCAGGCAGAGACCAGATCTCATGGAAGCTTCCAGGCTGAGGAAAGGACTGGGAGTTTAAGAACAACATGTGCTGTTGAGTACCATAAAAACCGGAAATGCTGACTGACACCATGGAAATCCCTGGGGTCACTCTCTCAGGGCTGAGTTATGGAAGGGAGTGGAAATGCCAAGAGAGAGACTGAAAGGGTAGGCAACTATCAAACATGCGGATCTGAAGCACAGGCCGGAATCGGGAGGCACCTGGAAGCAGAATGCACAATCGAAGGATGGGTTTGATTTTTGCTGCTGTTTTTATTTTTATGATGACAAAGATCTACACACAAAGACAACCCCACAGGATGTTCACCATAGCATTGTTTCTTATAGCAACAACAGAAAAAAAGAAACTATCTAGCAATAGATCAATGAATCAGACTATGGGATGTCCAAATGATGCAGTGCAATTCAGCACTTAAAAACTCACGTTGTTGAAGAATATCTAATGTCATGGGGAAATGTGTATGAGATATTGAGTTAAAAATGCAAGTTTGGGTGCCTGAGGGGCTCAGTTGTCTGAGTGTCTGACTTTGGTTCAGGTCACGATCTCACCTTTTGTGGGTTCTACACTGACAGTGCAGAGCCTGCTTGGGATTCTCTCTCTCTCTCCCTCTCTGCCCCTTCTCCATTTGCGTGCATGCTCTCTCTCTCTCTCTCTCTCTCTCTCTCTCTCTCAAAATAAATAAACCTAAAACAAAGCAAGTTATAAAATAACGAGTATATTACAATCTCATTTTGATATCCGAAATTAAGCGTATGTAGCAGGATGATTCCTTTGCTATTCCTTTCTCTCTGTCTTCATGTCTGACATGGGAAAAGGGGTCTTTTGACATCACAGGACATAATACAAAAAGAGAGGTTTATTTGCCTTGCGGATGCACCACGTAGGATGCACCACGATCGAACTGGGATATTGGAGGAGGGGAGAGGGAAAAGAAGGAAGGGGCTTCTGGCCTCAGCTTAGAGCAAATTTACACGAAAGCTGGAAAAAAATATATTGTCCATTCTCTGGATTTTGGAAGACATTCACTTCCCTGAAACTCTTCATTTCCATCTGCGCTAGATCGCAAGAAAGTCTTCGGTTGGGGGAAGTACTGAAGGAAGGTGCAACCACTCAAAAATGTGAAACAAGAGGCTGCATTTACTGCTTGCTTCAGCAAGGGAGAGCTGTACTTGTAAGGCACTGGGTCTGAGCAAGGTTAATTTCCTATGGGCTCCAGGGGACCATGGAGTTCAGGGGTGGGTCAGCTTTCAGAGTGTACAGGAATTGGCTGACCTCTGGCCCTAGAAGCACGGTCAGTGGAGTGAGGCTGTCGCTGACCGGTTATTTTCGGGGTGTGCTTATTACTGGTTAAGCGCACGGTTTTAGGTTACTGAAACGAGTGGTCATATAAACCGGGTTTATAACTGGTTCTAAGTGTTGCTTGTTATAGCCACAGAACAATTAGGCTTTTCCTAAGAGGATGGGAATGTTTTCTTCTGGGGGAAAGGGGAGGGGATGGTAGGGAAGTCTACACCTACATAAAGATCTCAAACCATATTGAGTAAAAAACAGTTCCCAAATGCTGCCTCCAACGTGATGCCTTTTATGTTTCTATTTTTTAAACCTCCACACAACACAAGACCACATATTATCACTATATCATAGTGTATTAGGATTCTCCAGAGAATGGGTCTCAGTGAAACAGACCATGTGGAGCCTTTGTTGCTGGAGCTAATCTTGATTGGCTAGGACTGGTTTCTAGAGAATCCCAAAGACACCGGGAGCCTCCTGGATTTGGACTCAGAACTTGGCTGTGAGAGAAGAGGCCCCCCTCCCCTCGGCCTCCCCCAGGGCTGGGACTGGTGAGCAGCTGTAGCTCCAGTTGATCTGGGAGGACAGTTCCAGAATGCAGGCCCAGGTTCTGACTGAGCCCTCCCCACCAGGTGATGGCCTCCACGACCCCCACAAGGCTGGCCCTGCGACCACGAGTGAATCGGAGCCTGCAAGGCCTCAGCTTCTGCCTTTCCTGCCTCTAGCCTGAGGCGAGGTGGCCCAGCCGCAGCCAGCTGTCAGCCCCTGACCCTCCCGAGACTCCCGGGGCTGAAATTCTTGGGGCAGATTTCTCACCCTCTCAGTACTTCCTTCCAGCTCATCTGGCAAGTGAGAAGACTTCACAGGCTTCAGAAGGAAGAGGACGGTGGCAGAGACTGCTTTGAAAGGGATAAAGAGCTCAACGAGGAGAGGATATCACCGTTACAGTCTAAACCTCAGACCCCAGCTGGGCGGCAGGCGGTCACATGTCTGTAAACAACCAGCGCTGTGTGAGCACAGAGGCTCCTGTTACCGAGTTGCCCACATGGGTGGCCCAGCTGACTTGCAGGGGTGGGTGGGGCAGGGGCCCCAGAGGAGAGAGGAGAAGGGGAAGGCTTGCAGCATGGGGGTCCGAGAGTCTGACCGAGACCAGGCCTGATTCGCAGAGGGCCTCC